TGGCATATCTTGAATATCTAAATTCAAAGTTGAAGGCTGAAATAAGCTATGATTCTATAAATCAATCTATAATGTTTTTTTTTGTCTGAAATAAAAGAAATGAAGACTTTCCAAAAATGTATGTAAGTTCTGCTTGAAGTCAAATACACATAATCTTACGTATATGAAAATGCATCAGCAGTTACAAGTGATGATATTTGGGTTTTATTTTGTATTTCCAGATGATAACCAAATATAAATATCAAGAAAATTGGAATATTTACAAATTAAATTTCAATAATCGTCTTTTAATAAATCTTTAGTTAATAAATTAAGATCAAGTTAAAATAAAACAAACATTTTCAATGTAAGAAATTGTAAAATAATATTGGACTATCAAAAATATATAAATGAGCAATGAAATATTACATACATAAAGGAATATTTTAATCGATTCGAATCTATGCTTAAATAAATAGTTATATGAAGATATATATGTGAAATGAGAATATTTAATACGTTGGAAATGGATATATGCTAATATCTGTTGCTATGATCATTTTAAAAGCATAGAAATTGAGAATGCGTGGAGACCGGCGGCGCTCGTGCAATAAATCTCGGTGATTGCCCATCTCGAAATTGTCTGATTAGTAATAAAATTATATAAAACCAGCAGGATATCAAAAATCACTTACTTTCAACGTAATAAAAATCTTAAGTTTATATAGTGTTTAACTATCGACTAAAGAAAAGTTCACTTGTCTAGAGAATTTTATAAAATTTCTTTAGAAATACAGTAGAACCTGTTTTTGTGTGGTCCATTTTTATGCGATTTTTATGTCATATATGAATTCTAATGGCTTTGGCACCATTATAATGTTTCCTATCAATGTGCCAATTCATTTTGAACCAATTCATCACAAGAAGATGCGCGTTTTGTAACAGTGCATTTTTAAAATTTCTCCATATGTATAATGAGAAATTAAATGTTTTTTAAAATGTTTCCAAGTGTAATTTTATAATTTCTTTTGTTTGTATGCACTTTCTCATGTATTTCGTCCCTATCCACCGCATAGAAAAAGTTTCTGTAACGTATTATACAAAGTTATTTGTTATATGTAAGAATTTATGAAAATTTCGAATATTTTTTTTTGTACCTTTTTTTTATCCTTTTAATTATTTCATATTTGTGGACTTTTTATTACTATTCAATTTCTCATATTAGTAAATAAATAAATTATTAATATTATTTTAGAAACTGTTTGCTTTAAAAAATTCTGAAAATTAATAAAGACTGTGAGATTTCAAAAGTCGGTATGCGCACGAATTCGCGTTAGATTTTGTCCAAATACAGTGTGCTACAATTACACGTGCATTGATAACCAGATGCGAGGAATGCAATAGTACTTTTAGGATTCATAAAGAAATCGTGTGAACGATAATTCAGGCCCGGTCGGCGGCGTAAAATGGCCATAAACAGAGGAAGAGTGAATTTAAAGATGCACGTTCAGCAATGAATTCGAGCCTTGTGTGTGTCTGTGTATGCGAACGTCTGTCTGTTCGTTCTCCGCCGCTCCCGACGGTGGTGAAATTTCTTTGCAATACGGTGTAATTCAGTAATTTCTGTATATGGAAGTTGTCCCTATTTACCCGGGGCAAACATTTGGGTCGGCCGAACCGAAGAGGACTGTTCTATCCTTTCTCTCACTCTCTACCTTTCGCACCCATGTTTATGTTCAACTCCGTTGGTCTCTTTTGCGCAAATTGCCGAGACCGGTGTAATTAATTTATTAGTTCTGTTCTGTGATGTTGGAGTTATCCGAAGGTGAGGTGGTCCGAGGATGGCCCCCCCACACATACAAACACACATACAACACACAGAGAGAGAAACAGAGGACGCATCCACGTCCAAACACCAGCATGTATTTAGTATGCTCAACAATTAAAGTCATCCCGTCTGTTTTATATAGCAATAACATCGTCGGACAGAAAGAGAGAGCCTTCTCGTAAAACGGTGAATTACAGGCGATGCGATAAAATTTGCGCGCTCTCAGACGTTGCGGCGTAAAACACACTTTTTAAAGCACCAGCTCGAAACAACGCGCGTATAAATATCCTTCCTCCTCAACGTCTTTTTTTCGCTTATTCATTTATTTATCCTTTGGAGAAAGAGCAACGGCAACAAGCAAAGAGAGAAAGCAAAAATAAAAACAAGAGAGTAGAACGTCAACAGCAACAACAACAGTAAAGGCAAGAGGGGAGGGAATCTCTGCATAAGCTGGTGAAGTGAAGAGGACCAGAAATATTTCCGAGTGCTTTATTTGGTGCGAAAATGAGGGACCGGGCAGCCTCGAAGTGTTAGCAAGAAGATTTATCGGGCCGAGAACCGAAAAGGGGGGACTCCGATGTTCGTCTCCTCTTCCTCTCATCCTTCTTCTTCATCTCATCCTTCTACCACTTCTTCTTCTTCTACAGCGTGCACCTCTTCGGGGGCATAATTAATGCGTTCGAGAGGTGAACAGGACCGTGCGTTAAAATAAACAGGGAATGAACATGTCGCCGTTATCTGCGCGTTTATCCTTTCTCCGATCCTCTTTTTTCCGCCCATCCTCTTGTTTGTTCTTCCTTTCTCCTCTTCTTCATCTTGACTTTTTCTTCTTATTTTTCCTTTCGTCTCGTTTCCTTTTCGGCCCTATCTGCAAGGCGACGCGGCCGCCTCTTATATAATCAATTAATCTTCACCGGATCATCATTACTCACCGGGGAACGCACGAGGGCATTTTTAACAGGGCACCACGCAAACACGAGGAAATCATTAGAACACATTCCCAGAACAATAAATAAAACGATTAATTGACAATCCTTTAGTCGGCCAACGGAACGGAAAATGCAATTTGGGGAAAGCGATCCTCTCTTTCTGTGCTTCTCTCTCTGTTCTGCTTGCGCTCAGACTCATCCTTTCTTTTTTTTTATTCTCCTCTTCTTCTGCTTGCTTTCCTTCTTCATGCCCAATTCAACCCTACTTTATCTAAATTCCATATTAATTGCGGCTATTTATTATCCTCCGCTGTATTGTATCCAGCGTCTTTTTGTTTCCTCCGCGCTCAAGTCAGAAGGAAAATTAATATTTTTCTGCATCGTCTCCTTTCTCAGACGGATTATTATATATTTTCACATTTATATTACTGTCTGCAAACAACAAAAAATATATTAATAAATTATACTAACCGAATCACTCAAACCAGAAAAAACATACTTCACGGTAACTTTAAGTAATAAATAATTACATTTATTACAACAATATTAATTATATTAAAGTAATCTGTTCATAAATAAATATTATTATAGATTCAAATATTCTAATAAATCAATTCGAACATTTTGTTAACAATAAAATATTTCAATAAGAATTGCGATATCGGGAAAGAACATTCTTTAGTTCTTTCCCGATATCAAAATATGTAAACTAAAAAGAATATTTTTATTTGTAAAATTAGAGAACCATTTGGTGTTCAAAATAATTGTTCAAGTATCTTGATGAGCATGAATTTACGTCGCCCAACGCACTCACAATATTATGTTAACAAGTTTGTAGAAAGTCCTGTTAATGTCGTAGACGAGGTGTTAAGTTGGCGACATGCGAGGAGACAGAGGGAAAAAGTGTGACTGGATTTATGGAATCGCTTTCGAAAATTATTCGTGTATCGAGTTTTGCGTTTGGAAGCTGCGGAACAGTAACCATCACTAATAGCCCTATCATTAAGTCAGATATCCGTTTACTCGGGATAAACTAGATGTAAAAATAGGCGAATACGGCTCTTCCCTCTACATACCATCCCGATTTTTTTTTCTTTTTCGGATTCGTCCCTCTATTTTTGTTATTTCACTCACCTTTTTTTGTCCGTATCCTTTCGAAACCTCGTGTTTGGAGAGTAACCAGATAGTTGATGAGCGTAATCTCTTAAGAATTTAATAGCTTGTTAGGATTATAAATTCGTGTGTGTGTGTAAGTGTGAGAGTGTGTACGTAGTTCGTCCCCAACTAACTCCATAATATATTACCAACACATTGCCGGTTTCAAATTTCACGCGTTTCGAACAGAAACTTGGTATAATTTACGGCCGCACGGCGTTTAGAGTCTAATATTTTCAGTTTTTACAATCCGGAGGGTTGCGAGTTGTTTCTTTGACACTTCATCGAGACCAGAACCTCTGGATTCCTTCATCAGAAATAGCTGGACGCAAGGATGGAAATGCGACAGGTGGATTTATGGCTCTTTCACATCTAAATCTTCATTAGCGTTTAATAAGTCAATTAACTGGTTTATACACTCCGTACGTTTTGCTGAAACCAAAGGAAACTGCAAGATTATTGCATTGCATACGTGTCGGATCTTCTAAGAGAAAATCGCTTTTAAATGGAGAAATAAACGGTACTTTGAGACAACTTCTCTGGTCCGGCGCGCTCCCATAGGAAACCCGACGACAGTTCCACATCATAATTGTATTATAATTATTTTAATCTGCTTGTTGTTACGAACTGCAATTACGTTCGTTCTCCTACGTTTCTATTCAAAAGCGGATGTTGCTTGATTAGCAAACCGTTCATCAAGTCGGGACTTCAGTTCTTTATTACTCTTCTCTGTTTTTTCAGTTCGTACAGTAAATAGAGTTTACGCTGCATTTATGAAATTAATACTATAAGAGAAAAGAAAGTTGGATTATTTACGGTAAAATTATTTCAAAATTTACGAGCGTAAACATGCGTGTAATTTCCTTCCTCTAATGCAGCAATAATTCTAATAGCACAGTGTAAATAGCTCAGACTAAGCTACTTAAATGCATTCATACTATAATACGTTTTTTGTAAGTTTTAAATCGTTTGAACTCTGGATCAACTGAGTTTCCTCAAAGCTTAAATCATATATTACATTTTCAAATGCACCAAATCCAATTTATTTTTAAACCAACTTTTATAAAATAGTAAATCCTTTCCCTAAATTTCAAATAATCAATTCTGCTTTCATCTCTTTTATTATTAAATAACTACACTACAAAATTTATCTAATTTCTTTTGTACAATTTTAAATCGAGAACCATCCCGGCACATTCGGTCTGTCCTTATTCCTATCGACATATTGGTTGTAAATTTTCTTAGCTTCCTCCAAACTCTTCTCTTCCTGCTTCTGACTCTCCTCAACCTCTTTTGGGAACAAATTGGGAAACTTGAAAACTTCATCTTTAGGCTAAAAATAAATCATTAATATTTGCTTCACTACTACCAATTATAATGAGAATTAATAAAATGCAACATAATTCACAATTACTAGAAAATTACAAATCAAGTAAAGAATGATTCTGAAGAATTATTAAAGCAAAATTCGATACTAATAAATTACATAAAATTTGAAAATTCGAGAATAGGCAACCAAATGTACATTACGTTATACTTAACATATACAAAAAAAACTTCAAATTCATAATATAATATTCATAATAATATTCATTTTATATGGAAATCAAATTAAGTTTAAGATATGATCTTAGAAACATTATAATATATGAACTAAATGATTGTTCGACAGATACTTACTAAAATTGCATAGGCATATTTGATATCATCCTCTTTGACGACATATCCATTAACCAGATCCCTTTTAGTTTTTCCTAAAGCAATTCTTGTCCTCACATCGACTGTCTTCACACCATAAATCTTCTCCAGGTAATTCTTTACATCGAATTTGGTCATTTCAATTGAACAGGAAAACTGGACCACATTTGGTGGCTGCTCTTGCTGTGGCCTCACCAGTTTCATCCAGAAATTGGGAAGGAAGACACGCAACTGCGGACCCCCACGTTGATACAGAGGATATCTAAAACAACAGTTGTTAATTTAATTTAAACAAAATAGATTAAAATATAAACAAATTACATTCTGGTGGACATTATTTGTATGAAACGTAAAAAATGATAGGTTAGAATCAGGAATAGAAATGAAGTTTGCCTCGAATATTCTGAAATGTAAAAGATCAAATTGTATTTGATGACTTATTCATCTATTTAAGCTTGTTTCAGTTATTTCATTCATATATATTTAAATTATAAAGATTTATATAATAAATATATGAAGTGTCAAGTGTGAGTTAAGTTGCATATACCCATTAACTTTTAAAATGAAGAATTAGAAGAAATCAATATATTTATATTATTATTATGTAACTATTTTAGTCATATAACATAATTTCGTAAAAAGTATTAATCAACAATAAATAAATTTATTTTATCATTAGGTTTCTTCCCAAATAATCACGGAATCATTCTAATAATTCAGTACTTTGATCATAGATGGGGAAACGTATCTATAGTATTTGAATTTTTATGAATGTATGATTTTTTCCTTTTCATAAAGCATAATTTACATATTTATGGAATTTATATCGCTAATACCTGATTATATAGCCATTAACTAGAGTGAAACAAATGGACAATTTAAATGTTAATATTGAAACTCGTCCAGGATTTATTTTGATTTTAGCGTGGCGCAATCAGCAAAATTACCACATATTTTAATTTCCGTTGATTGGCGTACATTTTATTTATTTTTAGTCGCAGTTAATTATAATTATTATATGTAAATAAACATATTTAAATTGAGTTTATATTTATAATATTCCGATATTCACTAAACGCAAATGCTTTGATATTGTCCTGGTAACGCAATTGTTAAAATAACATCAATGTCAGTGTTTTATTTTTATAATCCGCGAAAGTGTTGTGCGTGTCCGAGTCAATTCTTCTTTTCTTGGTAAGCGATCTTAAATCCTTCTTTTAAAAGTTAAATTAAAGCTATTTAGAACAGTTTAAAACTTTGTTTTTCAAAGATGTTAACTTCTTGTAAAGTTTTAGACGTGAATTTGAAAATTTTAACTATATGTTTCGCTTAAAGCAGCCATCGTCATCTGTGGACCACTGTTGGGCCACGAGAAAATGTTGGTGGGTCGCAGATTTTCTTGTAATTTTTACCTTACTAAGCAGAATAAAAAGATTCAATGTAAAAAGAAGTGTATGTATGATTTCATATTTAGAATCTCATTTTTATGGAAAAACATCATGGTAGTGGTCCGTGGGATTACAAATATTGAGTTTAGTGGCCCGCGAGATTTTATATATTGAGTTTAGTGGTCCATGAGGTCAAAAAGGTTGGTGACCGCTGCTATAAAGAATATCCACAAATTCTTTGGTTGTCTAGTGCAGTGGTTCTCAAACTTATTGGGCCGCAACCCTATTTTGCACTTAAAAAAATTAAAGGACTTCCCGAGTTATCTGGTCCCCGAGGGTATCTGTAAAAAACGTAGAAAAACTCAATCAATTTATCTGCGATCTCCCAAGTATTTAACATACACTTTGAGCATCACTGGTCTAATAAATAATAAAAAGTTGCCAGAAAGTTAATTAAATTTGCTTTAAACGCATTTTGAGTTAACAGCAAACAGCAATGAGAGAGTATGGTTAATTAACACTAATTAATTAACTGAATAATGTCCATTTACTGTAACTAAAGGGTAGGCTTTTCTAATCGTATTGTGAACGCTGACAAGTTTTGAATGTTGCATAACCTCGCTAATGACTACTAATACGTTATCAGACGAACGTAATGCCGAGAAAATATTTGTTCGGCAATCGATAGCTTCAATCGCAGAATTTCATTTGCAAAGGGGGAGCGAACATTTAATCGGATCGAAATTGATCTCCGCAGCACAATGTAATTAGCGCCCAAGTAAATATTATATAATTCGATTTAGGATCTTTCGATGTGCAGACAATAAAGTACTGCAACTGTTTGTAAGAACAAGCATCATCGAACATAACGTTGTTAATATTTGAAGAAGAGAAAAACGGTATGAATTTTAGATGATTAAAAAAATGGTAATAATACGCTTTTGTAGAAGCCACACGATACCATCATACGTTATCTTCTATAGACTATTAAATAATCATTTATCAAACGACCGTAGACATATATAACAGTATTACATTAACTTTGACAAAAAATTAATGTTACTTTATTATGAATAATATTGAATTATTTTTTATATGATCCTATAACTATTGTTGTAATTCTATAAAAATATAATTTATTGTGTGGAATTAAACCATTTACAAACACAAACTAGTTTGATGCAAACATATTTAATAAATGATGTAATATTGGGTGAAGTAAAAAGTTCTGAGCGTTTTATCAACATTTTCGACTATTTGCCTACCAGAAATGTCTCAACTTCGACGTCCATATTACTAGAATGGAAGCGTTGGAACCTACGCTTTATTGTTGCATTCGATACTGTATTGGGTCCATAAACAACACACATTATTTTGGCCGCCTGTTCCGTTTTTTTCTTTGGTCGTAGTGGTACTGAAGAATGTATCGAATTTTTTACCTCCATTTTGGAACGCTCTAACACAACTTGATTCACTAAACACAAAACTGTGAAATAACTTTTTTTAAAGCGTTATGTCGTCTTTTAGTCGCAGTATAGAATGACATAATGAAACGTATACGTTGAGATATGGCTCAATTTTTTTTAATGAAAAATTGAATAACGTTAAATATCATTTTCTTTCGTTCATTCATTTTTTATGTATGTTTTTCTCAAGTGATTTAAACTTTTACAAAGTTTCTCAAAGTTTGATTTTTATATAAAATATTTCATTTGAATTCAATTAACTTACAGTGGCAATTTGTTGCCATACAAATATTCTCGTTACATGTTTGTTGTGTTGTGTCTGTTTCAAGAAGTTTATGCTGTAAACAAGAGTAATTGTATTTCAATTTAATTTTGTTCGTTTATTTGAAAACTAATAATGACAATAAAATGTATTATATAGATTTTTTTTGTTAAATTGAATTATATGTCTGTAAATAATTTTATATTCTAATAATAGACTAAATTATTAATGCGAGGTTATTGAAATATGAGTATTAATTAACTAGTACGTCATAGAATAACCATTTCCAATAATACTGTTCATTAATTATTATTAACAATTATTATGTAGAAACAAGTGGATTGTTTTTGCCGCCTGTTTGACATCATTGATGTAATTATTATTAACAGGCATTATATGCGTTGGTTGCAGTAACGGAGAGAAACACAGGTTTCAATTATCTGGCTTTGGGACTTGAATTGAACGTTATGGGAGTTAATTGGAGGCATTCTAATTAAATAAGCATCATTAATGCATGCTTGTAACTGATGTAATACTGATATAAAAAATAAATAAAAAGCTCTGATTTTTAACTTATTTCTTCAATAATCTAACATTATAACAGGAATATTTTTTACTATTAATTTATAAAAAAAAAGTAATTAATTTGTTTTTTTTTTGAATAAATGGATGAACATCACAAAACTAGTAAAAATGATTTTGTTTCGAAATTATGTTTGACATAATCCAATTGGACTATAAAATTTTTGTTTTGACGTGTATCACACAATGGAAATGGGAAGAAGATAAATTCACTTACATACTGTAAAACTTGATTGAAGTATTATTATGTAACGTGATCTGCACAACTCAAGCAGTACGTGAATTGATTTGGTTATTAAAATAGATGATTTAACTTTATTTTTTTTTATAGGGTGGAAAGAATCAATAAACATAAGGTAAAAATTTGATTATTATATTTATTGCATTGGTTTTTAGTAACTGATTTATTAAAAAAAAATGGTAATGAAGCTCCATCAGTTTCTAATCTGACATTCCAAGATTCACATTTTCTTTTATTATATAATAATAACACTGAAGGTAGATTTACTTACTTGAATAATTGCAGAAGTTAAGGGTATTGTTATGTATTCTTTCTTTGGTCATCAATTCAGAACTAATATTTTCATTGTATTTCACCGCAATGTTGATTGTATTTGTGAACTAGCACATCACTAATATGTTGGTCTCCATTACCACCCTCATCATTGACCTTCTACACCTACACTTTGCTAAATTGGAGAAATATTTCGCGGACTGGCCTTAGCAAGAAATTAAAACAAACGTACATAAGTCATTCAGACATTGATATTCTTCATCAAAAGATATCCAAAATTAAGACACAAGAGTGATATCAGAAGCTTGTACTTGATCAGTTTTTCTTCCTCAGAAGAATCAAGTCCTCATGACTATATTTCAAAAACGGAATATTAATCCAGAGGTTATCTTTACGTGGATATTCATTTTCAAGGAAATAATTATTAAAGTATTCAGCTAACACTCTTACATTTTGTCTTATCATGTTTAATATAATGTTATATCAGCAGAGTTCTTCTAAAAGTGCACGACTATCCCAAATAGCCAACTTCTTTATGAACCCATCTATGTTATTGCTTTGTATCAAAATATTCTATATAAGGCCTTAGGAGAGGAAGTGTATATTCAAAAGGTTAAATATGTCCGCCCTATACGCAAGTTTAACCGTTAAATTCGTCATTCAACAAAGGCTCTACTAGGTCACATCTCTCGCAGATACTGCTTTGCTTTTTCTCTCAGTTTCAACATGTTTGTAAAAACTCTGAACCGAAGCCGGTCCAAGGACCACTGGTTGGCTTCCACTGTTCTAGGCTATACAACAAAGCCCCAACGATAGTTTCTGGTCCCAGAGCAATCTTCCGAGATCCGCCTACGATTCGTTCATCCTCGCTCATCTTCGGCACCTGAACAACGTATGCCCCGGGCTGTAATCTTCTTCGCAGTACCAGCATTTTTCATCTTCCTTCTTCGCAATGAAGTATAATCTGGGAAATCGATTTCACCAATATCCCAGACTAATCGATAAATTAAATACAAACCGCACAAAAAATGGCTTGATAATATAAAGGAAAAAAATAACGATTGGTGTTTTTATTTTGCTCAATTAACATTTAGTTAGTTTTGAAATGTTCGAACCAAAATATAGCAGAGCTGAGGTATTACTGTATTCGTTTCACATATGTTTAATGTATGTTTCTAA